AAGGGACGAGGAAGAAGTGACACTTCTCTGAGTATGTCTTTCTACAAAGTTCAGACTTCTAGAACCATAGTAATGTTTTACATATGTGCCTTCCACATACCAAAATATAAACAAAACCAATCAGGATGTGAGGAGAACCCTAAAATGGAATGCAAACACTGAAAAATATACCTAAGTGTACTACAAATGAGCAAAATAACCATAGTAAATGGGGGGGAGGAAAATAACTTAGCATCTTGACTAGATGCTATAAAACTGAAGACAAAAAGAACTAAACACAAACATAAAATGAACATAAACAAACATACATCTATTTAGTAGATGTGTTTCTCAAAGGGACATGGGTTAGCAAGTCTGAAACTCATAAAACTGAACAAGTAAATATATTATAGATGAGAGATGTTACAAATTTTAAAAGGCTAAATGACCATGGTGTTGGACCGGAATCAGAGGTATCAACATAAACTCATGGTTTTTAATACAGAGACACAGTAATACAGATGTGTGTATCCATGGGTTAGTACATGACCACATATTTCTTCCCTCCATCTGCTGAGAAGGCCTAGAAATAATGACACTCCAGTAACAATGATCAAACCAAGTAGCAGGCCTTGTTTTCTACACCATTCTTTAACAAAAAGTTAACAAAAGGAGCTGGGGATCCTTGGAGGAATGGGAGACACAGAAAATTCAAGGTGAGCCTGAAGCAACCTGTGGTGTCTGAAAGTAAGGAAGTGCTCAGAAAAGGATGGGGCTTGTCAAAGGAACACGGGAGCCAATCAGAAGAAAGGAGTGTCTAATGGCCAAAGCTGAAACAATTTGAGCAACTATGGATTTTATCCCATAGAGTAAATATCCATGAGTCCATACATACATACATACATACATACATACATACAGAGAAGGGACAGCTCTTCATTGCAACAGAATTCCAAGTAATAAATGTAGAAGGAAAGAAGAAAATAAAAAATCAACATTAATCGAAGATCACAGTGATAGCTGATGCTGACAAGATCCACCAATGAATATAAAATTAGTGCGCAAAAATTTGAAGAGAAGCAGGGTATTTGCATAGCCTCAAAGTATCTCCTCCAAGATATTTAACAACTACAAAGGGAAAGATGGTAACTTTACAATGGAGAAATCCCACGGATCCCACCTTAACCAACTAATCGAGGTTAACATCACAAGATATATTGGCATGATGAACTCCTTAATATAATGCAGAGAAGACCACAAACTCATTTCTGTTGTATTCTTAGCAAAAATGCATAACTTTATTCCAATCATGAGAAAAACATCAAACAAACTCAAACCGATAGACCACCTACAAAACAACTGACCAATCCTCTTCAAAAGGGTCAAGGGCATGGAAAACTGAGGAACTGTCAAAGACTGGAGGAGACTAAGGAGCCCTGACAAGTAAATGCAGTGTGGGTCTCCAAACGGACAAAGGACATTAGTGAAAACAAGGGTGAAATGCGCATGAGGTCTGTGTATTAGTTGACAGCATTCTGTCAATGTTAACTTCTTGATTTTGATAACTAAACCCTGACATATAACATGCTAAGATTAAGGGAAGCTGGGTGAGGATATACAGAAACTCTTGGAACTATTTTTGCATCTTTTCTGTATGTCTAAAATTAGTTCAAATTGAAGATTTAAAAAAAAGGTGAGCTCTCCCGAAAGAGAGGAAGAGGATGTGGGTAGTGAGAGAGAGGTGGAATTAAAAGGAAGAGAAGCAGCCTATAAGAGTCGTGAAGGCTCGTTCGGTAGAGGCCAGGGGGGCAGCCCATGTTACACCTGCATGAAGAAAGGGCCGTCTCTTGACTTCTTATGTTTATTCTCCCATGTTTCAGAAAGTCAGGAAGGTTTCAGAGTTTGTAAGAAATAGTGTTCAGTTGTGCTGTCCCATATGGCAGCCACGAGGCACAGAGGTGGCTACTGAGCACTTAAGGTGTGGCTAGTCAACAAGGAGCTGGGCTAGCAGAGCAAAATACATGCTGGATTTCAAAGACTCAGCACACAACTGAAACACAGAATGTAAAATGTCTCCATACTTTTTATACTAATTACACAGGGCAATGATGGTATGTTGGGTAGATGGGTTAAATAAAATGTATTATTACAATTAATTTCACCTATTTTGCTTTACTTTTTCACAGGCCTACCAGAAATTTTTAGAATTTTGTATGTGGCTCTCAGTACGCTTGTACTGGAAAGCACTCATTTAGGTCCCAGGAAATGGAATGCTTGCCAAGTTATCAATGCATACAGTAGGTATCCAAGGCTCCGCGTGCATATAAACTACCCAAACACTGCTCAACCCGCCTGGATTTCAGGAGACTTGGAGTTGTGTTTCTTTGCAAACCAAAGAGTCTTGCCTAGAAATCCTTTTCCTTGGGCATTTTCTGGCTGGGGAAGTGTAAGGAGAGCACAGTGATTGGAGGCAAGATTTGAACCGTAAATTACCAGGCTAACAAGAGCTTTAGCACAGAGGTGTGCTGGAACCAGCTCACACCAGTCCACGAGGGCCAACTGTCGAATATCCAGAAATGCTACAAGATGGTTGGTAAACACAGCCATTATTAACTAACTTATTTAAACTTACAATAAATAAATCACATTAAAAACAAAACTCATCACTTCCTAATTATTTTACTATGCTCTGCTATTGTCTATGATGAGGTTTCTTTACATCTATCTTAACATGGATCTGTGTGGGGGCGCCTGGGTGGCTCAGTCGTTAAGCGTCTGCCTTCGGCTCAGGTCACGACCCCAGGGTCCTGGGATCGAGCCCCGCATCGGGCTCCCTGCTCAGCAAGAAGACTGCCTCCCCCTCTGCCACTCCCCCTGCTTGTGTTCCCTCTCTCTCTGTGTCTCTCTCTGTCAAATAAATAAATAAAATCTTAAAAAAAAATTGATCTGTGTGGTAAAAATACAATATGATGGTATGCTACTGCACATGTCCCAGCCCCATATTCAATGATATCACATTAATAGCCTGAAATCAACCATGGTGGGAGTATTTATACCAAGGAAATTGGCAAACACCACAATTCGGGGCTTTTCTTTTTGAAGACCCAGTTGTCAAACATTTGCCAGAATACCATGGTCTCTCAGAGGGTACTGAAATTCAAGGGACACCAAAAAGACAGACAGTACCAAGTGTTGGCAAAGATTTAGAAAAATTAGAACCTTTGAGCATTGCTGGTGGGAGCATAAAATGGTGCAGCCACTTTGGAAAATGGTCCGGCAGTTCTTCAAGAGATTAAATATAGAGTTACTAAGTGATCCAGCAATACCACTCCTAGGTATCTACCTGAGAAAAATGAAAATATATTCCAAAAGCAAAGACATATATGTAAAAGTTCACAGCAGCATTATTCATAATAGCTGAACAAATGTCCATCCGCTGATGAATGGACAAATAAGATGTGCTTCATCTATACAATGGGATATTATTTGGTTTGAAAGCATGCTCAGTGAAAGAAGCCAGTCACAAGACTGTATGATTCCATATATATGAAATACCCAGAATAGGCAAGTCCACGGACACAGAAGGTAGATTAGTGGTTGCTTAGGGCTGGAGAGGGAGGGGGAAATGGGGAGTGACTGCTAATGGAGACAAGGTTTCTTTTAAAAATGATGAAAATGTTTTAAAATTTGATTGTGGTAATGGTTGCATAACTGTGAATGTACTAAAAACACGGATTTGGATGCTTTAAACAGGTGAATTATATGGTATGTGAATTATATTTCAATAAAGCTCAAAATAGTATCTATAGCTCACCCTTTCTCCGTTTGCCCAGATGTGGGCTCCTGGGACCCAGTCCAGTGAGGAATAACATTAGAGAAATACCCCTCACTGTGCTCCTCCAGGACATGCTGAAGACACAAAACTCTAAGTTCCCAGGAGGACCTAGCAGGCCAGGGGTCCCCAACCGGACACCTCCGGGCTCTGTCTAGTCCACAGGCGTGTTTAATTTTGAGCAGACATTTTATAATCATGAGTTGTCTTATTTTTTTTTTTTTTAAAGATTTTATTCACTTATTTGAGAGAGAGAGAATGAGAGACAGAGAGCATGAGAGGGAGGAAGGTCAGAGGGAGAAGCAGACTCCCTGCCGAGCAGGGAGCCCGATGCGGGACTCGATCCCGGGACTCCAGGATCATGACCCGAGCCGAAGGCAGTCGCTTAACCAACTGAGCCACCCAGGCGCCCCAAGTTGTCTTATTTTTTAAAAATCCATCTTTCCAACGTCTCCTGCCATCAGAAGATGGCCTAGTTCCCATGATCGGCAGGAGGCTGTGGCCACACCAAGCCAAACTCCCCAGCCCTCCCTGTCACCTCCCTTCCACGGAGGCTGGGAGTCCATTACCATTCATCATCACAGCTATAACATTATTACAGAACAAAATGTGCTGTCTCCATGGGTTTCCAGAAAGGCGAGAGGCATCAGAGAGCCTTCCTATTTCACAGGCTAACAAGGTATGTCTGCATCAAAAGAAGCAGCTTGTCCTTGCATGCACCAGCCTCACTCTTCCTCGCGGCCTGTCTGGCCCTGGCGAGTATGGAGGATGAAATCCCTGTGTTAGATTCTACAGCGGCCAAGAAGCAGGACCACGTGTGTGGTCTGGTTCACAGTGTATCTCTGGTAACTAGCGTAGATTTGACATGAATTAAAGCACTTAGTACCGCGTGATGAGGGAGAGAACAAGTGCAGCCAGAAGCCCCTGTCCTTGAGACATTCAATCCCACGGAAGCCAGTGAAGCGGAAAGAGCATGTGGAACCCCGCCACTCTTCCTTCTTTCGCCACCTCCCCACCCGTCCTTCCTGCGTACAGCCTGCCCTCCCCGTCATGCTTAATTCAAGGTGAGGTTTAGTCCTGGGCCTGTCCCAGGATGGATGGGAAATACATGTGGTCGGTTGTGTGGGCTTTCTAATGCCTGAGGTCATCCAGCCCATAGCGCACCCTCCAGCCTGGTGCTGCTACTTACGCTTGATAAGGTATCCTGTGTAGGGGGCCGTGGCGACGACGTGGAGGACAGTGCAGCCATCCTCGTCCTTCTGGTTGATGCGGCCTTTCCACTCGGGCTTGTGGTCCATTAACCACCTGAAAAGATGGTTTTCCTCTGAAGGGAATTAAAATGAGTGACTGATGTTATTTTCTACAGACCGAAAATCAGTAAAGCACATCAATGTGTAGTGCCATGAGGGAACCAAATGGGGAATCCCACACACATTTGGCACTCAACACAAATAGGTCCAGGAGACACAGAGTTTGTAAATTAAAAGGATGAGTTCTAGAACGTTATTCATAATAAACTCAGCCAGGTTCCCTAGAAGCAGAGCCTGAGACAAGGATTCCTGTACATGTGAGTTGTTGACAGGGAGCTCAGGAAAGAGACTGAGGGAAGCAGGACAAGGCAGGGGAAGGAGGCAAGCAGAGATGTGGTCTCAGCTGAGTCAGCCTCCGCCCAATCCCACAGGGAGCTCTGGAGCATGAACCGAACCAGTGTTGACCCACCATGAGGCAGGGGCTAACATTTTGTACGCATGTCAGTTAGTCAAGAGCTACAAAACACCTCTAAGGAGGAGGTGAGGTTGAGGGAGAACCTCTGTAGAAAGTGGTGCATATTGGCAAAAAGCAGTGCTCTGGGGAAGGAGGCAGCTGTGAACCAGCAGGGGGGGATGGGGGTCCTGGTGGTAAAGAGGCTCCAGGCAGGGCACCAACAGCACCCATGTCAGGAATCAGGTCAATATCTGAAAAGACTACCCTACTCATTACTATCGATAGGACATATATTTAAAAATTATTTTCCCAGGCTCCTTCCTTGTAGCTCCTGGGCTCAAGGAAAGCCACATGCGTGCTCGCTTCGGCAGCACATATACTAAAAAAAGGAAAGCCACATGCTTCTGCCAACTCTGCGAACACCATTTGTCACCATGTCAGAGTTTTCCTCTGAGAAACAAATCAGAGATAAAGTTAAACACCTGATCCTACTGATTCCTGCCTGTACCCACAGGAGCTAACGTAAAGAGCAGACACAGTGGGGAATTGTGACTCTCACAACCAGAGACACACTTCTCTGGGTTCCAGATTCCTACTTGAAAACTGGGAGGACTGGATCAGATTGCTTTTAATCAGACTTTACTTTTAAACCTTTGATCCGCCAATTCCTGTGTGAGAATAAAACATCTTGTGGACTCCCCAGTAAGAAATGGATAACGGCAAGGCAAATGTGGCTAAAGCAAAGCAGCGGCCCAGGTCTTGAAGCCCCTGGCCAACCCCCTCACTCCTTCATTCCTGGGAAGGCAACCCAGCCTAGAAGAGGAAGACTGTCTAGAAAATTCTCTTGGCCCCTTCTGGCTCTAAAACAGTATGGGTACATGTCCAACACTGATGCCATACATGCTTGGAAAAGAAAAACAAGCTTTTTTATCTAACATGTGTATGTGATAATGAAAAAATTTAAATATTTTAAAATTTAAATCCTATCGCCAGGTGGTAAAGACTTAAAAAAAGAAAAAAAGAATCTTATGAACATCAGCGTTCTTTAGAAGAACCACAAGCACTCTGTCTCAGTAAGAACCAGTGTTTCCCTTGGTATCAGCCCCCAGCACCACCATCACCATGGCAGTCAGCCCTCTGGCTAGAGAGAAAACGAACTTGAACAAGGGGGAAAGACCACCTGTGCCTTGGCCAGCTGGAAGAAACTCCACAGTCTCAGGGAGCTCTGCCCAGCAAAGGCTGTCTGTCCCAAGTCCCCTGCTTGTGTCTCAGGGCTCCTCTACCCCTGGCATCTGTCTAGGAACACGGAATCCTTTCCACTTGGGCCCCGTAGCTACAAGGTCCCAGGCGAAATAAAAACGATGCTGTTTCCCTGCTGCCTGCATGCATCTGAATAATCAAACTATTTGCATATTCAAATCATTTGAATATTCCACCTTCAGATGGCTAAATTCTGGTTTCTCTTGAGTTCAGTGGAGCACGCGGGAGCTCAGAGCTGGGATGGCAGGTTGGACAATGTGTAACCGGAAGAACACTCACTTGCTCGGATACAGAGTCGCATGAGGGCATGAAGAGGGTATGGTCCTATAGTCTCAATACTTGCACCAAGGCAGATGAGCCACTGAACTAATTTGGGCATCTGTTCCATCTTCTCATAAAGTCCAATGAAGACGTATTTCTGGGTAAAAAACACACAGGAAGAATCATGGAAGTCACTCCGTCAATATGAAACTTCAAACTCCTTCATTCATAACGTTGGGGATCAGTAAAACCTGGATAGCTGTGGCCCAAGCCTGAGATGATTATAAATAATAAATTTGCAGTGAGACAGCTGAAGTCCCCTTATACAAGCTGAGATCCCAAATACAAGCCTGAGTGGCCTGACTTGAAACCGTACGTTTTAAGAAGCCACCTTACCTCAAAGAGACTCTTCAGTGTTAACCCTGGGACATGGATATTTCTTGGTAGCCGGTCTTTTCTCGCCGACAGAAGTAGGAATGACTGATGAGAAAGGAGAAAAAGAAAAAGCTAAAATAATCATGTTCCCCACATAGGTTATTAGAGCAAAAGTTATCTTCAGGGTGAAAACAAGCAAAAAAAAACAAAAACAAAAAAAACAGAAAACAAAATACCCTCCAGCCCTGTCTCTCTTTTTAAGCTACCTGCCAAGCTTTACAGCCTGAGCTATAATCAAAGTCCCTCTGTCCAGCCAATGTCCTGTTCCTGCTGAGAGCTAAGCTCTCTCCACATGTCCTCAAAGCCTGCTGAGGATAGCAGCACCAGTGGGTAAAAAAGTGATTCCCTGCAAAGTTCTTGAGGCTTACTTGGCAAGCAGAAGAATCCAATCCTTTACAAGTAGCTCCTTCCAATTCATTCTTTAGCACTTTAGTGGTTCATAAGCCCCAAGTGTTTGGGGTCCGCTAGACGCTGTCAAGGCAGCTAGTGAGCACCAACTGCAGTTCAGAATTCCCAATGCCACGTCCTGTAGCCCTATTAATGACTTCAGATTGGGCCATGGTGAGAGTACTGACGCTACAGAAATTGACAAACATTTTTTTTCTCAGAGAGCCAGGTGTTAAACCACTGACGCCATCTAAAGTCACTGAAGAAACTGAATCCGGAAAGGTTAAGCAATTTTTCCTAGGTCACACAGACAGCATGTCCTAAGAGGTCCCTACTGAGATCATCCTGGTGTGCCAAAGGTCTAAGGGCTCCAGGCTCTGGCATGGCCACAACCGGAGACCCAGGCTCAGCCTCAACCTCTGTCATGTATGCACCTGCTAGTGGACGTGGGGCCCCAGGGACTGAGCCAATGGCCACATCTTGCTTCCGGATTTTCAGCTTGATGCCCACTCTTTCCTGCTCTCCCTGAACAGACCCCAATCTCAAATGACATGCTCAGGATTCTGCCAATCCTGATTGCTGACCTGGCTTTTTTTTTTTAACAAGATGTCTCTACTTCCAGTATGTGAAAAAAATGACTAGGACCCCACAGCTGGAATATTGGACCAAGTGGACCTGCCACTGGGCTGCATTCTCGGGCCTTCCCTTGCCTGCCTGCTTTCTCAAGAACTTTTAATATGGGAGTGAGCTTCAGGGAACTTGTTGCTGGACTTTAGGGGATTTCCCATGAACCGCCTGAAACTATACCCACAACTGTGTGTGTATGCAAAGAGAACCCCATCGATTTCATTAGATTTCCAATGGAATCCATGAGCTTTTTAAAAATTGAAGAATTCTGTATTCTAAAGTCATTTGCCCTGCCTGGCTCTAGAGAGCTTTTGGGTTGCCCTTGGTTTTGTTGACTTTTCCGGGCTGCCCAGCTTCAGAAAGCCCAGCAGGCCCTTGCTGATCTAACTGCCACCGTTGACCAGCCCTTTCCATGCTGACTGAGAGCCCACCATCAATGACAACTACTATTCACTGGGCATTTAGCGCACGCCAGGTATCATAAAGCTCCGTTAGCTCAGTGCCTGGCACACTGTAAGTCCTTGATAAACATTAGCTAATATTATTAGTAGGTGTTCTTGGTCCTTTATTTCTCATCCTCACCAAAACCTGAGGAGTAAGTTTATATCCTGCAACTTACAAATGAGGAAATGAGGCTCAGAGGGGAAGTAATTAGCCCAAAATAGAAAGTGGAAGATTATGATTTGAGGAGGCATCTGTGTGACACTGAAGCCCAGGCTCACAGTCCACTCTGTTCCTCCATTCTCTGGATTCCCAGCCCTGGGTTTGACTCCTGCAGCCTGTTATCTGTGGGCAGCAGTCCTTTAAAGCTACACAGAAGCAGGGCGCCTGGGTGGCTCAGTCGGTTAAGCGCCTGCCTTTAGCTCAGGTCATGATCCCAGGCTCCCTGCTCAGCGGGGAGTCTGCTTCTCCTTCTGCTCCTCACCACCCCCACCCAATCCCCATGCTCACGCTCTCGCTCTCTCTCTCTCTCTTGCTCTCTCATGCTCTCTCGCACACACGCACTCTCTCAAATAAATAAATAAAATCTTAAAAAAATTTTTTTTAATTGAGAAAAAAAAAAAGCACAGAATCACTCAGAGCAACACAGGCAGGTCTTTTGAGCCCACACTAGCAAATGCAGTAAAAAAAAAGATGATGAACACGCAATTGTTTATTTTCCTCATTCCACATTATCATTAGCACCTGAACTTGACACTTCTGTGATGACAATGAAGACACAGAGCAATAAGGGCGATAATACATTATATATAATGTGATATATAATACATTATATAATATATATAATACAGTATATATAATGTGATAATGTGAGGGTGATAAACATTAGCTAATATTATTATTAGGTGTTCTGAATATGTATCCTATCTTTAAAAAAAAACAGAAACTGGCTAATTAATATCTCTCATCTTTAATGATGGTGCAGTTAAAAAGTTATTTTGGCATCAAAATAAACAGATAATAAATTACAATCCCTTCCCCAGTGCGGCAGAAAAAATCCATTTAACCAAGAATGTACTTTCCCCACAAGAGAGCCATCTTCTTTTACTTACATGCCATAATCCTTTTTTCGCCAACTTTTCTATTACAGATTGCCACACTTCTGTTGAGAATCCAGTAGTAAAAATATGATCAAAAGAGGGCAAGAAACTTTGCAAAACAATGGGGTCACCTGAAAGAAAGTTCCATAGTTTAGAAATTTTAACCCAGGCAGAGTCCTGAAGATCTGGGAAAAGGTCCACAGATAGACAAATGGAAAATTAAAGATACCAGAAAAAGAGGCATTTTCAAAGTAAAAGTAAAGTCAAAGGAATTTTCAAAGTAAAAGTACTCTATAATGGAACGAAGTGGAATCACTTTACGTTCATCTATAAACTCAATGCCCCAAGAGTTAGGCAGTGGGATTTAGCTCTTCCATATGCCAAGCCCAGCAATACGTGCTAATATTTAATCCCTCAAACAGACCAACAAGGCACTGGCCTATTATCTCCACTTATAGAGGAGGAAATAGAAACTCAAAAGAAGTTAAAAAAAATTTAAAAAATAGCACCTCGTGTCCTTTAAGAAAGATGTTGACAAATATTATTGTCACCCAGCCGATGAGAAATGATGACAAATGAGGTCAGGCTTCACAGCACATCATGCAGTTAGTTAACGACAAAAACAAAGACGGGGACCCAGATCTACCAACTCTCTTAGTCAATACACATTCTTCTAACTAGTGGCCCATTGCATCTCATGATCCTCCAAACCACATTTCTCAAACTCATGGATGAGATCATCCAAGGAGCAAGGGCAGGTGCCGGAATAACACGGCACCTCCTCCAGGATTGTCAACTTCCAAAAATAAGTAAATATCAAAATAAATAGTATTGCACAAAAGGATACAAAATTTCCACAGATACATTCTTCAAATTTTAGAAATTGGGCCGTGGACATACATTCACCCTACAAATAGAAATACTTTGGTATAAAAGTATGGGATGCATTGCCCTACAAAGTTCTAAGAAGTGCCCCCTCTCAGGATGGCGGCAGAAGGGAAACCATCCAGATTTCTTAAGGGAGCAGTCCCCCAGAAATAAACAGTGACTTCACAAAAGATGCAGAGAAGACATGAGGGATAGTAGGGAACGCGCCAAGCCATCAGACTCAGAGGAAAGGGAAACAGGCTCGGGTCACTGCCAGCAAAAGGCTGACTGGAAAGCTGGGACCCGTCAGCATTTATCTGGATATCTTCCACTTCTCTGTCCAAGGGACTCGGCTGTGCCCACCTCCAACCTCTTCTCACTGCCTGCCTGATATGGCTCTCACGCCCCCCACTCCCCCATCTGCCAAACTTGCCCAAATTTGTAGAATGTCGGCCACAGACCACAAGAGCTGCTTTCCCACAATCGCGGTGGGAACAGGTGGATCTGTAACAGCTGAATCAATTTCCCCACCTCTGAAAGCCAAAGACCTTTTTCCTGCAATTCTAACATGTGCCATTTTTCACATTCTAACATCTCTACAATAGGGACATGTGTGACAACTGATTTTGACTCTCAGTGGCAAAACATTTTTCAACAGCACATCTTAAGTCAGTACAATCTTAAATGCGATCAAACGCAATATTTGAAAACAATGGCCTGGTCATTGGCAAAACTTCAGCCCGTGCCAAGATAAGCACAAGAGAGCTCCTTTGTCACTGGCAAGGATATGTTACATTGTGTTTTATGGTTTTCAGTTTTTGCCTAATCCAGGCCACTGACAAAGCCAGCTCACGGGCCAGGTCATTAGAGTAATAACTCAAGGCAGTGACGCAAAAAGTCCTCCATGCATCACTCCTACATGGAGTGCCCGGGTCCTCCGCTGCAGTGAGCATAGCCAGCGACGCCCTGAGCACCGCATCAGCTTCCACAGCACCCTCTGTTAACAGTTAGCTGGACAGTGAGGTAGTCCCGGCCAGGGTTCCCAACAAGAAAATACGGAGTCAGGACAGCTAAGATAAAACAGCACTAACATCCTGTTTCACAGCTTAGACAGGAGCGCACTAGCATTCTGCTTTGCAGCCTTTGCAGAACTGACTTCTGCAAAACGTCGTAAAATAAGACAATTAACCACAAAGCACTTGTCACTATCACGGGCAAGGGGCAGTTAAGACATAAGCCCCCAGATGTCAGCAAAAAAGACCATCAGCATGTTGACATTAACCTAATAGGTAGACAGGTAATGTGACCAAAGCCCTGATGGGCACAACTTAGCACAACCTGGCTGCTTAAGATAGCTCCACAGAAGAGCTCATTAAAAACCACTAAACTTAGAAACTCCGGGGGCAACCCACTCGAGCTCCCCTCCCCCTCTGGGAGCTTTGTACTATCGCTCAGTAAACTTTGCTCTGCTGCCCACCACTCTTCGTCTGGCCTGCCTCTTCTTTCTTCCAAGCGGCATGACCAAGAACCACGGGCACTTAAGGCAGAGAAATCCTGAGACACCTCCATCAGCCCTGCCAGGGTATTTTGATAGCAAACAGGACTATTTCTCAGCATATTGGAGACACACATGTAAACATCACAGGAAAGAGCACAAATCACATAAAATCAGTAGCACAGAGAGGGAAAGATCTCTAAGTAGCAACAGAGAAAACTGAAGTCTGACTGGCAGAGCTTTAAGTGGTTTCTGCGAAAGGATTTTGTTGTTTTTACAAGGACATGAGCCACCAAAGCTTCCAAAATGCTTTCTAATGTGAAAATCAGTTCCAGTCAAACGACATAAATCAGCCACAAAGAAACACCCTGGAATTATCTCCCCAGGAGCCATTCGAATAAAATAACAAGGACTTAAAAAAAAAAAAGGAAAGAAAGAATGAACAAAGGCTTCCCCCCTCCCCCTTCCAACTTACTGCCCATAGTGGTGAAGACTCCCACAAGGAAATCAGCAACCTGGATCTGGTCTGGAGTGCCTTGCAGAAGTCGCAGACCCTCGAAAAACATGCGAGCCGCTTCATAAGGTTGGAGCAACCGCAGTAAGGAATAGCCAGCTTGGTAGTATCCCTGGGACAGAAGAAAAGCAAAACCGTAACTCGCCCATCTCTTCCAACCAGCTGCTAAAAGGAAAGGCAAGATTGATGACCTGGGGAAATGGATTGTAGAGGTTTCACTTCTATGTAAACACAGATTTCTAACAAGCACTGGAGACAGCATTCCCACATTACGTTGTGTGCCACATTTTTCCTGTCATTCTTTAACAGCCAAGAAAATAATCACTTTCAAATCCATGACTGGTACAGCATCTAACACATGACATGGAGCGAGGAAGCAGGACTGGTTCCAATTATATGTGTGGCTTATTTATTCATGCTTCCAATCACAGCTCAGGTAAGAAGAGAATGAAAAAATCCTATGATGACAGTGTTCTAGAAAAGAATGAGATTGTCATGTAAACACAGAAGTTGTTCCCTGCTCCTTTCAATCAAAGTAAACACAATTTCCACTGGGTATGTGGGGTGGGGGTGGGGGGGCGGGAATGAAAATGGTAATGACAAGCATTGAGATGTATTGAGCTCCACATTGCGGGCCATGTACACCAGAGGCAAAAATTTTTTTCTTTCTGTAGAGGACAATCACAATGAGTAACAGAGGAAAATGGTTTAGTTTTGCCTATATACAAACTGCGTACCTTGAGTAGGAACAAAATGATACTGCTTTTCCCCTCTTTGATTCTCTAAAGGAATCCACACCAGGACCTACCAAGACAGCATTCTAAGATAGTAAATAAAAGGTGTTCACCAACCAGCTTCATAAAAAAAAAAGCAAGCACTTAAAAATTCCACTTGACACCAAATCTCTGATTATTTATCAATTTGTTTTCACCTTCATTTGAAAGTCTAGAACCTTAGATAATCAGAAAAAAGGGGTGGGAGAAGGTGGGTTTTTTTTTCCCCCAACTGGGTAAGCTGGATACAGAATTCCCCACTTCCTTACCCTCCTCAGATTTAAGTTTCTTTCATCTTTTACTTTGGCAGGGGGATGAAGGGGGTCAGAATATGCCACCCCAAAATATGACACTTTGGCATAAGGGTTATCTTGAGCCCAAGGCATTTGAGATTCAACAGATATAGAAAGAAGCCTTCCTAGAGCTTCCCTTATCTGACTAAGAACAGAAAGTCCACAAAACGAGGACTGCCATAAATCCCCTCCCCCAGGGAATTTTTATGGCCATGAAGAAAACGGAAATCGGCACTGAATGGGACCAGCACTGCTAAGCGTTGCTAAGATAGCCTTGCTCTCCCTCCCATTAGTTTCCCCATGTACGTGTGTTCCCACAGTCCGGGGGCTCCAGAAGTCTAAACCCCTTTCCTTTGTCTGACCTTGTCTCCACAGTTTATTGCTCTCTGTTAAAAATGTATATGAGCTCTAGGGGCGGGGCTCAGTCAGTTTTAAGCTTCTGACTCTTGATTTTGGCTCAGATCATGATCTCGGGGTCAGGGGATCGAGCCCCTCTCAGGGATCTGCTCTCAGTGCCAAGTCTGCTTGTCCCTCTCTCTCTCTGCTCCTCCCCCTACTCTCTCTCTCTCTCTCTAAAATAAATAAAATATTTTTTAAAAATGTATATGAGCTCTCAAGCCTATCTGATTTTTGGGGCGTCCTTCCTAGGAAGGGCCCTCTGTCATGTAAAAACTATCACAAAATAAAATTTGTATGTTTTTCTCTTTTTAATTTGTCTCTTGTCCGTCAGATTTGCAGGGCCCCAGCCATTGAACCAAAAGAAGGTAGACAGAAAGAGTTCTTCCCCTACAGATGACATTTGGGGGAGAACGGGAGGTGGGAAACAATGGGGAAAGAGGGAGACACCCAGGAGTAAGAATGGGGGCGGGTCCTGGTCGCTGTGGGCCTTGGACTGAGGCAGGCTTGGCCCCTCAAGGAAGTCCGTCCACCGCCTGAGGGATGTGCGCATGCCCCAACTCCTCCCCACCCCCCCACCCCCGCCGCCAATCCAGTTGGGGGATGGGGAAAATCCTAAAATGCCTCTGAGGAGATTTCCTCAGGAGTGCTTTCCCATTTTTAAAACTAGTCAATAATTCCTAAAGTATCCATCCTCTAATAGAAGAGGCCTAAGGTAAAACAGACAAATCGCTCCCTCGAGGATGTAGAATCCGTAGGTCAAAGTCCCTGGCCACTTCCCACTGTTCCGTTTCTAGCAGTCGTACACAAAATGCAGGCCCCTGAGGAAATAATGCAAACTCCTGTTTACCGAGTGCCAACAACTTGAACCAAGGTCTCTGAATCCTTGAAGCAACTCCAGGATCTAGGTAGCATCTCCCTTTACAGTCGGGGGGGAAAGGAAGGCTTAAGGAGGGAAAAGGCGCTCCTCCGGGCTGCTGAAACCAGTCCGCAACAAGGCCTGCGCTTTTCCCACCTCGGAGCCTCGCTCTCCATGGTCTGTATCACTAACGGGACACGTCATTGTATGTGCCTCAGGTGGCTCCTGAATGGCAATGCCGTTATGGTCTCTGATTCTGCTTTCCGTACTCCTCCCAACCGGATGGTGAGTTACTCAAAAGATGGGATGGTGTCTTCCTGTCGGTCTGTTTGCCTCAGGCATGAAGAACGTGGAGGTGCCTTGCAGAGTGGGCACTGACAGCATTTCAGCTGAGAAAAACAATCCAATGGTTGTTTACTGACCTTCGCTAACACCAGAGAGGGGCTGGCTGACTGGCCTCCCAAACCTCCCCTGATCTCCACCTAAGAAGTTCTTTCTGAAGAATCTGTGTCATGTGTCCCCGCAGCTGGCACGTGAAACAAAGCTTTGCTACAACTCGCAAGCACCAAAGAACACTTCAGACTCCCAGCCGGGAGGTAACTACATCAGAACACAAGAGTTCCCCCCACGAGGGCATTTCCACACCCGGCCACCATCATCGTAGTTAGTCTTCTCCCGAGGGCCTCGCATGCCCTAGGGGCATCTGTCTGAAGTGCAAAGAGTTGAATACGAAGCTCTCCTCATATTTCCATTTTAAAAAGAAGGGAGGAGGGGCGCCTGGGTGGCTCAGTCTTTAAGCGTCTGCCCTCGGCTCAGGTCATGATCCCAGGGTCCTGGGGATCGAGCCCCGCATCCATCGGGCTCCCTGCTCAGCGGGGAGCCTGCTCCTCCCTCTCCCACTGTCTGCCTGTCTGCCTACTTGTGCTCTCTCTGTCAAATAAATAAATAAAATCTTAAAAAAAAAAAAGAAGAAGAAGGGAGGAGAGGAGACAGGTGAGGAGAAGACAGGCAGGATCCCCGGCTGTCACTGTACCTTCACGTAGTTTGGATCCCACTGGAGACATTCCTTGGCCGCCATGAAGGCCTCATTCCATTTCCCGAGGCTGTAAAACGCACTCGATTTGCTGCACAGCAACACAGCCAGCTGCCTGGGGGGGACTCTGTCAGAAAGAACGGACCGGACCGGCGGTCAGCAGAGCTGTCTTTCTGCAAATACAGAAACCACCCTTGAAAGCCACAATACTGGGGCTGGCTGCCACCATCGCCAGTTAATGTCCCAATTACACCTATCACGTCTGGCCCTCCAGCCACGCCCCCGCCCCAGAAAACCCGGGACAAGTCTGTCCCTCCTCACTCCCAAATTGTCCGCTCCTTTTCATGACAAATGTTCTCAACACCTCAGTTCTACCTCTGACTCATCTCCATGGATCTTTTCATTTTTTAGAGACCACCTTGGTGAAGATGCTGTGAAGGTGCTGATAGGTCCTAAGGACAGGGAGGATGGGAGTTCCCACTGAGCCTCAGCAGAGTCCAGACACTGACTGGTGCAGTGTGGGGTGAGCCCCTCCACGTACATGCCCACGCTGGATGGATGCAGAGCGTATCATGGGAAGGGCCTTTCAGAACATGTGACCACACCATCCCCACGGACCTACCATGACAGGTGCAGGATGAGCACCGTTGTAGTGTAGAGACAGGGCCGCCCTAACATTTGCAGGACCCAGGGCCAGAGTGCAAATGGGGCTCACACACCCTGGGGCTAATCCAAACTGTCCAATATGGTAGCCACTGGCCATGTGTAACTATTCATATTTAATTTAATTCAAATAAAATTTAAAATTCAGTTCCTTAGCTGTATTAGCCACATTTCAAGTACTCGATACCCACATTTTGTGTTATAGAACATCTTCATCATCACAGAAAGTCCTATTGGACAGTGCTACCCTAAGTATTTGAAGGTCATAAATCAAGTTCACAAAGTTTTCCATAAAATACGTTCTATCTTCCTACTTTACAATAACTGGTTCAAATTTAGAACGGTAGGAAATGTGTCAGGGCAGAGTGATCCCGGACTGCACCCCTGCCCACTCCCTCCACCTCAGCCTTCATCCTGCACTGCAGGAGGCACGATTCCAAGTGCTGTCCACACCCCTGAACTTGGTCAGCCCTGGGAAGAATGGGCTGCGGTAGGAGGTCTGTGAAGGCCCTGGGAGTAGAGTCCATGGGCAAGAATTCCAGGGTCCCTGTACCTATGGGATGAACCAAAGGGGAGGAAAAGACTCTGGGTGGGTAAAGCCTGTGGCCCCACAGACTCCTGCCTGGGTGGTGGGCCCAGCTGGAGGGAAGCCACAGGAGGGCCCTCTAAAGCATGAGAGGGCGGGTCCCCTTGCCTGGGTCTAGGCATAATACTACCAGGTTGGTGCCAAACCACATCAGAATTTGAAGACAAATGCAAAGTGTACCACAATATGTTAAAGCCCAGGTGCCACTGAATTCAAAACACATGAGCAAAAAAATCCAGGCTTATACCTCTTTTTTATTGAATATTTTAATTGCAAAAGTACTACAAAATCATTATAGAAAAGTTAGGTGATACAGGTAAGCACAAATAAAAAGCAAAGTAAAAATCACCTCTACTACTGCCCCATCCTCAGTGCTTTATGTTTCCGGCTTCTGTCACTGCCCATTGTTCCCTCTAGGTGAAGGGATGAGGGCCCAGAAGCACAGGAGGGGCAGTGGGGCAGCCAGGGAGTGACTGGCAAGGAAGCTGTGACTGCAGGTGTCCAGCCGGGATACCCTGGCCGGGGCAGTCATCCCCAGCTGCAGTGAACACTGGCTGCCACTAGGGGCTCCCAGTGCCCTGTTCTCCGGATTTGCCTTCAGCCTAATGGGATCTGCCCTCTCCCCAGGAAGTTATGCCCCTGCTGTGAACTAAATTGTGCCCCTCCGCCCATATGTTGAAGCCCTGCCCACCACTGTGATGGTATTTGGAGATGGGGCCTTTGGGGAGGTAATTAGGTTTAGCTGAGGTCATGAGGTGGAGCCCTCATGATATGAAGAGACACCAGAGAGCTTCCTCTCTCTCTCTTCCTCTTTCTCTCTCCACCCTGTGAGGACACCGTGAGAAGGTAGCCATCTGGAAGCCAGGAAGAGAGCTCTCACCAGAAACTCAACTGGCCAGCACCTTGATCTCAGACTTACCAGCCTCCAGAACTGAGAGAAATAAGTTCCTGTTGTTGACTCCACCCAGTCAATGGTATTTTGTTATGGCAGCCCAAGCTGACTAGTACAGCCCCACTCCTTAGGAAAACTCCTAGGGGCCAGACAGCCTACAACAGATGGTTGACTGACGTGAGAACCAAAAGGTCAGCTCCCTTGCCCCAAAGTGGGACCAGCTCTGCAGTAGACCTCATGCTCCGGAGCTCCCCCAGAAGATCAGGCTGAAGCTGCCTCCGGTTGACACACCATCAATGCCTGGAGCCCTCCCCTGCTCCATCCTGCTTCCCTCCGTCCCCTCCTCCTGAGAGCCCACGCTCAGTAAACCACACGCACTAAATCCCTATGTCAGCTGGCAGTGGCAGGAAGGCAGGCTACAGGTGATGGGCAAGGGCAGCAGTGTCAGGAAGGCCATGAAAGACAGTATGTGAGGGTCCAGGCAGAAGTCCCAGTAGTGGCCCCACACTATGGGGTCGGTCTACAGTCATAACCACTACACAACACTTCCTCTTTAAGAAAGTCAGATGCTATGGGCACCTGGGTGGCTCAGTCGGTTAAGCGTCTGCCTTTGGCTCAGGTCATGATCCCAGGGTCCTGGGATCGAGCCCCGCATCGGGCTCCCTGCTCAGCGGGGAGCCTGCTTCTCCCTCTCCCTCTGCCTGCCGCTCCCCCTGCTTGTGCTCTCTCTCTGTGTGTCAAATAAACAAATAAAATCTTTAAAAAAGAAAGAAAGAAAGAAAGATGCCTTGCACTCCAGGCCCAGCTTTGACACAGTTCTGATCTGAGCCAGGAGTGGCAGAATTACAGACCCAAACCAATGACACTCAACTCACATCCAGCTAGAATGTAGACAGCAAGGTGAGAGCAGGTAGGAAGTGGGAGGCATGGTTCAGTAATTTCATTCAGTGGCATTTCCCAGCACAAGTTTAGGCTGCATGCACCCCACAAATGACAACCTCTATTGCATCTGTTCCCAAAGCATGGTGTGGGAACCTCTGGGGGTCCCTAAGACCATTTCAGGTGGTCCCCAAGGTCAAATATTTTCACAATGGTAGCAGGCTGAATAATGGTCCCTAAATAATATTACCTTTTATTGGCAAAAAAAAAACCTTTGCTGGTGTGATCAATTTCTAGATCTTGGGGGGAGATTATCCTGGGTTAGGATTCAATCACAAGGGTCCTTGTGAGAGAGAGACAGGGGGAGACGTGACACAGAACAGGAGACAGTGAGACAGTGCAATAGCACGCTGGAAGGATGCACTTTGAAGACAAAGGAAGGGGCCACAAGCCAAGGTGTGCAGGCAGCCACCCAGAGCGGAAAGAGGCAAGGAAATGGATTCGCCTCTGCAAAAGCCCAGCCGACACCTCAATTTTAGCTTCGTGAGACTCACATTTCGGACTTCTGACCTCCAAAACTGTAAGATAATAAACATGTATTGTGTTAAGCCACTAAATTGTGGTAATTGGTTACAGTGGTCACAAGGAACTAAGACATTATGTGCCTTTTTCACACATTGTCTCACATGTACTCAAGGAATCTTCCAGGCTACATGATGTGTGATATCCCAAAGGACTGAATGTAGAAGCAGGTATGAGAAGTCAGATGTCTTCTGTTGAGAAAGAGCTCTGCAAAAATGAAAAATGTGGGGGCGCCTGGGTGGCTCAGTCGTTAAGCGTCTGCCTTCGGCTCAGGTCATGATCCCAGGGTCCTGGGATCAAGCCCCGCATCGGGCTCCTCGCTCTGCAGGAAGCCTGCTTCTCCCTCTCCCACTCCCCCTGCTTGTGTTCCCTCTCTCGCTGTATCTATCTCTGTCAAATGAATAAATAAAATCTCAAAAAAAAAAAAATGAAAAATGTGCCACTCTTCTCATGAAGCTTCTGATTTTGGAAAATATACTTATTTTTCATTAAAATATGTTACTGAGGTTGACATGGAATGAGTTTATTACTGAAATTTTAAGGAGGTGATGAATACATATTTTAAATTTATCTCAGTTTTAAGTTCGAATCCAGGCTCTAGTGATAGCTACAGCTTACATAAACAAAAGGCTCTTAGGGGTCCTCCATAATCGCTAAGCACGTCATGGTACTTAAATGAATGGGTACAGGTCGACTTGAAGGGGCAGGAGAAGAGGTGAGCTGAGCTCCCCAGTGGTACTCACTGTAGCCAGGGCGGGAAACGTCACAGAGAAGCAGGAAAACGAATTAAATGACAGCGGAGACGTTGGGGCCTTGGATCATCCCAGGAACTCTGATTCCCATCACCAGGCAAAGGGGGAAGTTGTGCAACAGTCCCCTGTGTTTCAGTTTCTATTTCCCTATTACTTAGTATTCTCTGTGCAGTTTCTGAGCTCACAGTACTGAGCAGATACTTAGGAAGGGGGCGGAGAAAGAAAACAGAAATTAGGCGGTGTGATAAGAAACGGGAAGAAAACGTAAGTGACAGAGGGAGTTTCCATTTACTGAAAAAAACCAAAACCAAAACCAAAACCAAAGGTGCGGGGTAAATCCCAGCACTTACCCCCACTGGTAAAACTGCAGGAGGATCTGGATGGCTTCGTCGTACTTTCTGATGGCCAGAGAGAAGTTCCCGTTCTTCAGGACGTGGTTGCCAGACTCTTTGAGCAGCTCGGCGCAAGCTGTGGGGTCCATCCTGTGAGGAGACGGACTTAGGGCTCGCCGCCCGGCCCCACACACAAACCCTCTCCCTTCCCGTCTGCATTGCTGGGAGTCTGCAGACGCAGTTTATTCACTCTGGCCCCGCCCACCTGCGGAGAGCACATCCTGACCACGCCCCTCACGCCCCGGGGACCAGACGGGGCGTCTGCTGAGCCCATTTCTTCCTCAGTTCTCGTCTGACCTGGGTGGCAGCGGCCAGAGCAATTCCATGTACTCCGTGGCAGTGATCAGCCAGGCATTGAGGGAGGAGGCTGCTGCCAAGCACGAGACAACTCACACCTCGCGGGGAGCGTGCGCCCCCGAATTGGCAGCTATTCCCCAAACGGGCACTATTGTTCCTTTCTCATTTACCCACCGCTACGGCCCATAAGGAGGCACTGTCCCCACTGTTCAGATGAGGAAACTGAGGCTCCCGGAGGTTCAAGTGACTTTGCCCAAGCATCTGCTAATGGCATTCCCCGGTTCTGACCTCACGTCCAAGTTTCTGCTCTTGACCACTGCACCACACCGCCTATCGGTACAAGCAAACTCAGTGGGCAGTCCTTTCATTCTCTTGGGAGGGGGGAAAGGGAGCGGAAGGGCAGTTCTAAAGGCCTCCATACACAAGGGGCTAGGTCACAGGGCTACAACCACCGCCTCTCCCACCCTCCTCCCTGCCTAAAACACTTATTAAAATAAGCCTCAGAGTATTGTCCCTCAGATTACTTCTTGCAGGTCACGACTTTTGTCTTATTCTTTTTGTAGCCCCACAGACTAGCATATAACCGGTGCTTAAATATTTGTGGTGTAACAGATGTGAAGGCTGGACCCAGAAGGTTGCCTGTTACTGACTCTGTCTGGGGTAGCCTGGGGAGTCGGAGACAAGTGACTGGAGCCCTACCTGCCTGTGGAGCCCAGGAGTGTTTGCAGGACAAAGGTAATAGAAAGGAGAGCATCTAGGGAAGCCTGGAGAAGCAGCCGCCGAGGAGGCAGAGAAAAGGTGGGGCTCAGAAGAGATGTCCCTTAGGATCTCCTCCTCCCAGGGTGGCAGTAGGAAGGGGAGTCTGAAATACGAGCAAGGACAATTCAGGTGTTTGCATAGGCCATGTACCTGGGAGTTTTTTTTTTGGGGGGGGGTCACACAATCTGTCGGGGGATGTTATTATTGATCTTAGCTAATGATTCATATTATTTTTATCATTTCAAATCTTGGTGAGGGGTTTGGGACAGGGGAAGCATATCCAAGCAGATATAAGTGGTGGCCTATTTTAAACCCATATGAGCTTACCAAGGATGGGGTTTTGGAATAGCACTGCATTCTTCAGCCAGAGCTGAATCTGAATGAGGCTCATGGTTCCTAAACAAGTGAGAGTACAAAATTGCACCTATACTTTCCACTAAATAATCTCTCAATTCCATGACTCAAATTTACACAGAGATGACTGAGTTGAACATGAAAAACTGTTCAAGAGTTGATTGACTACAGATATAAACATGTTTCTCTTCTGAGTATTGTCAGCTATCTATCTGTCCAGTTTTTTACACTGGCCATGACCAGACAACTAGGATAAAGAAATCACCATTAACAACTGACAAAGATTAATATGCCTCTTTTGGGTTCCCTGCTCAGCGGGGAACCTGCTTCTCCCTCTCCCTCTGCCGTTCCCCCTGCTTGTGCTCTCTTTCTCTCTCTCTTTCTCTCTCAAATAAATGAATAAATAAAATCTATTAAAATAATATGCCTCTTTTAATTTTTTTATGAAGTAATCTCTATGTTCAAGGTATGGCTTGAACTCATGACCCCAAGGTCAAGAGTCTCAAACTCTACCATCTGAGCCAGCCTAGCACCCCAATATGCCTCTTTTAGAAATACCTTTCTACTGCAAGAAAAGGCCATGAATTTGTCCAAAATGTGTAAGGCCCTAAACACACAATTCACACAGGAATACAAGTAATTTCTAAGTATATGGAGAGCAGATAAACAGGATCCCCCTCACCGATGAGCAAAGAAATGAAGAATTACAACAACAAGGTATCACTGAAAAATACTTTAAAAAAATGACCCCAAATGTTGGGGGCTTACAGGGGAAATACACTACATCATGTTGCTTACGGGGGAAATATACTACATCATGGTTAGATTTAGTGTCATGGATGTTTGCCACAGTGAAAAAGTATAAATAACCCTAAATGTCCTATAACTCGTAATGGATTTGAATCAGTTATAGAATATCCATATGGTAGAACACCACACAGTTATTTCAAAAATCATGTTGTAAAAGAATATTTAATGATTGGCTAAGTTAGTAAATGAAAAATGCAGTCTACATAAATAGGTGTATAATCCCAAATTGAATTTTTTTCAAGATTTTATTTATTTACTTGAGAGAGTGAGGGAGAGAGAGAACACAAGTGGGGGGTGGGGGCAGAGAGAGAGGGAGAAGCAGACTCCCCACTGAGCAGGGAGCCCAATGCGGGGCTCAATCCCAGGACCCCCAGATCAAGATCTGAGCCAAAGGCAGATGCTTAACCAACTGAGCCACCTAAGCACCCCCCAAATTGAATTCTAAACACATATAATATATTGAAAATATGCCAAAATGTTAACTAACAGCCACACCATTAGGATTAGGCAGGGTTTGGGGGCGCCTGGGTGGCTCAGTCATGATCCCAGGATGCTGGCATCGAGCCCCGCATCAGGTTCCCTACTCAGCTTGGAGTCTGCTTCTCCCTCTCCTGCTTGTGCTCTCTCTCACTCTCTTTCTCTCTCTCTCTCAAATAAATAAATAAATAAATAATCTTAAAAAGATGAGGCAGGGTTTTAATTTTCCTTCTTGTGCTTTTCTGAATTTTCAACTGCTCTACAACATACAACATTAATAATCAGAACATAAGTGTTATTAAAATGAGACTTTTTAAGGGCTTAATTGAAGAATTCAAAAGCAAAACATCCACTGTATTTACAAATACAATAAAAACTATTCATGTCAGAATTTGGGTTTTTTTTCATACTCCTCTAGACACCAAGAGTGAGCTCTTAATGCTAAGTGAGGAAATATCAAAAGTGTTCCTTCACTTGTTTCCACTTTTTCTTGGTAAAATCACGTCACAGGAAATAGGGGGATTGCCAACCACCCAGAAGGCTTTTTGCTTCTTAATAGGATTTATTGGCCGTCACATTCTCATTATAGAGAAGAATGTTTTACATCTCTTCCTTAGAACACGGAGGGCTCAGTTGTTGAAACTTTTTTTTTTAACAACTGGGCCGTCTGTTTATAAGATGAAATTGTTGAATACAAGTGGTAATGACAATGTGCTTGATGGCTAATAGGTACTGAGCACCTACTATGTGCTTTATGTCAATCATGCCATTCTATCCTTACAAGAAAGCCCATGAGGTAGTCATGATCGTCCCCATTTGACATACAAGGAATCTGGGGCTACTTGCCACAGTTACCTAGAAGGTGGTGGCGCTAGAATCCAAACCCAGGTGGTGTGACTTTAAGCTATATAAAGGCTCAAAGGTCAGCACCCAGTCAATCCCCCAGGCATGTGATGATTTGGCTGACACCCAGCACTCACTTCCAGTTTTGCTGGTGGTATGAAAGCAGTTTCACACTTTCACTGTGTCCCTATCAGAATTCAGGGTCCTTTTGTGGGGAGGTGTCATGGGCTGCCTAGTTAGACCCAAGGAAGTTAGAAGCAAGAAAAATACAAATGCACTCAGTAGATTTCGAAACAAGCAAATCTGAAACAGAACAGATCCAGGTTGTTGTGGCTTTTATAACTTGTGTATAAACACATGAAATTCTGTAACTGACTTACAGGAATAGAGTGAAACCTGCAAACAGGGGTGGGCTTGAGGCCACTAAAATGGGCAGAGGGAGGCTTCACTTTCATACATTATCTGCGTGCTACTCGAAATCTTGATAGAAAATTCACTTTTCTTGTTTTGGGTTTTTTTTTCCCCTTTTTTATTAAAATCTTTTCAAAAGACCCCCAAACCAGCCAATGATCTAAGATGAAATTTGGAATGCTGGGGATAAAGAGAGTTCCAAACTGAGGCCAGGGAGAACAGTTCTTAAAACTGACTCCTTCCTACTCTCCACAGGAGAGAAGGTAGCCACAAACGGTCCGGGATAAAAATCCAAAGTCAGGAGGCACCTGGGTGGCTCAGCCAGTTAAGCATCTGACTCTTGGCTTTAGCTCAGGTCTTGATCTCAGGGTTTTGAGTTCAAGCCCCATGCTGGGTTCTGTGCTAGGCACGGTGCCTACTTTTAAAAAAAAAAAAAAAAGAAGAAGAAGGAAGGAAGAAAGTCCAAAGTCAGAACTCATTCTGGGGACTCCAATTAGTTTTCTTTGCCTTTCTTTTTTCCTGAGGGAAAGGGTGCAAATGGGGAAGAAGAGTAGAGATTTTCTTACGAAACTCACTCACATTTTTTCAAAAGGCCTGTGGAAAAGTATGAAGTGCTGGGCCCAAGCTTTTCCTACCTGGGTGTTTTAAATAGAAAAAGAAAGACCAGACCATTGTGTTGGCCCCCCTCAGCTGTCTCACCAGCCTGCCATGGGGTAGGGGACAGAAGTAAGGCTGGGGAAGAGGTAATGGCTGCCAAGGGCTGGACAACCTGGGACCGTGGAGGCCATCTGAGGGTCCTAGAATTCATCTTAAATGCAGTTGGGAAAGCAGCAGTGTCCATTACAACTTCCTGTGATGATGGGGATGTTCTGTTCTGTACTGGCCAATACAAGAGCCACTAGCCGCAGGTGGCTATGACACCTTTGAAATACAGCTGGTCCAGCTGAAGAACTGAATTGTTTCTCTTATTTAATTTTCACTAACTTTAAGAATAAAAAAAAAAAATAGGGCGCCTGGGTGGCTCAGTTGGTTAAGCGACTGCCTTCGGCTCAGGTCATGATCCTGGAGTCCCGGGATCGAGTCCCACATCGGGCTCCCTGCTCAGCAGGGAGTCTGCTTCTCCCTCTGACCCTCCTCCCTCTCATGCTCTCTGTCTCTCATTCTCTCTCTCGCAAATAAATAAAAATCTTAAAAAAAAAAAGAATAAAAAAAATAAAAAAATAAATCTAATTTTCACTAACTTTAATGTATACAGCGGCTGCCATGCTGGACAGCACAGAGCTAAAGGGTTTTGAGCGGGGGATTAAGAACTAACTGCATCAATGCTGGCTGTGGGTAGGATGGAGAGAAATGGGCCACTGTAAGACCAAGTCAGGAGACAGACAGACTCCACGGGAGGAAAGCGCAGGGAAAGTCAACACCAAAGCTTTTAGTCAAACCTTACCTTGCATTACAAAAATAGAAGCTCCGA